GAAAATAAGTGTGCAAAACGCTTTGCACTACGTGTCCGGTCTATGTGTTCTCTGGTTAGTGTTCATACTGTGCTGCTGTGGATGCGTTCAGCAAAAGTAACAACTTGGCGGTAATGTTTATTTGTAGCAGTATTCTGGTACGTACGACGAAATACAATTAAATCTGAAGTTTGTTTTTCAATTTATCGCTGGTACTATTTTTGAACCTAAAAGCCGTACGGGAAGTCCTCGTCATAGACTTCTTCGGTGCTTAACGAATTTAAGGAACGCGGCCGTATCAACATACGCGATGTTTTTATCAAAAATTCGTTGTGCGAGTTACCCCATATAATACGCTGTCCATTTAAATTGGATTGAGCTTCTAGGCAGCGATCAAGCCACCAGCCAGAGCAGCCACCATCCCACTCGCTGGATCTGAAATCCATGCCATTGTGGTAACTGAGACCATCAGACGTGCTGCTATTATCATTCATTTTGCCAATAACCAATTGATAGTTAAAACTTTCGCTATCTAGCCGAAATATTGCATATTCAGCCCACACTTTAACATCGAGCTGATCCTGCAACTCAATACGCAGTTCGTAATCGTCGCGATAGACAAGTCGGTGTATGAGCTCGTTGCCAAACCAAAAGTCGTTCTCCAAACTACCAAAACCTGACCGATACTCATCCCAGCTGCGATTGAAATTTTCCAGCTGCTCCGTGCGACGCTGTATCACGGTCCACGCGGCTCCAGTCGTGGCAAACGCACAATAACGTTCATTTAAGTCGCGCTGTTTCTCATTCAGCTCGGGCTCCAGGAATTTGTAAACACCATCTACACGCTGTTGCTCATCGAGTTCGGCACAGTCCGCCTTAGCTGGCTGCAAATACTCTTTGAGTATTTTCGTTGCTTTATTAGGTGAGTTATATTTGCTTTTATTTCAATTGTTTTCACACTCACCCACAATTGCTTGGTAACTCTCCTTTGCTGCCTTAATCTCTGACATTTGCTCAATTTGGGTTTCCAATACGTCATTTTCTTTTTGTTTCTGGCTTTCCCGAGGGACTTGACTTTTGGTCACCAGCAGCGCCAGCATTGCGTGCATTTCTTCCATTTTTTGAGCGAGCTCATTTTTCCACTGAAAGCTATACTGTAATTGGTTGATACGTTCTTGCATTTGTCCCCAACTTTCCAGCGCTTTGCTTAGGTTTCCAGACAATTCTCTCAGAGATTTGCCTTGCTTAATGTGCGTTAAAAAGAGCAATTTGCTGATCACCCGATTTAATTTAAATTCCATATTCAACAGGCTACGCTGTTGTCGCTCCTGTGCATTCCGCACCAACATCAACTCCTGCTCCATCGAACTTCTCTGTTTGGCTGCAGTTGAGCCTGAAGCTTCCAGCGTCTGCACAATTGCAATTAGAGCGAATAGCAAAGCCGTAGATAACTAGAAGTCAGAAAATTGTGGAAAATTACTTAGAACAGCCTTTACTAGGCTGATCCAGTGCGCTTTACCCGCATCTTGTTGTTGCCTCAGCAAAGTGTGGATTGTAACTGACAGCATATGTCGAGCAATAATAACAGTTCCCAATAATTCATTAAAGAAACACCACATCTGTTGCAAATTATGAAAAAAAAAAAAAAAAAAAAAAACAACTTGATTTATGTTTTTGGTTTTTTTTTTTAGATTTTTAATTATTTTTACGAATATAGATTTGTTGTATTTGTTTGCTTTTTAATGTCCTTAGTTTTTTGTTTTTGTTGTTGCATATACACATTTCACTTCTTCAATTAATAAACGTTGGTGTTTAAAACAAAAAAAAAAGCAAAATACATATTTATATAGAAAATGGAAAAAATATCAATTTAACATTTCAAGAGGATTACACAAATCAACCCATCTATTTCTTATATATATATGTTTTTGTGTTGAATTGTTTTTAAAGTTAAAGTTTTTTTTTTAAGTTTAAGTGTTTACAGTTAACAACTATTTGTTTGTTTAAAAAGTAGAAATAGAAATTAAAGCGCCTATATAACTAAATACATGAATTCATTTTGGAGGCGTAACTATGTAAATCTATATATACATATATAAATGTTTTTTTGTTTTGTTTTTGTTTTTTGTAAAGATATTTATAAGCATGTCTGTTTTAACTGGTTAATAATTAATAAATCGATTAATATATAGGGGTAAAGGGGATCAGGATGAATAATTATTTAAAACGGCAAAAACTTTACATTTGTTGTTATTGTTGTTGTTGTTGAGGTGCGCGATTACAAGTTAAAAATAAAAAATGAATATTTATAGGGTTTCTTCTTATTCCTTTTTACGATCATGCGATCTACATATAACTATTTTAATATATATAATATATATATATTCATATTTTAAAGGTAGCACACTTTTGGCTTGTAGCCCCAAGTGAGGTTTTCTTCTCTTTAACTTTAACTTTGAAACGAGCGTGTGTAGGTGTGTGTGTGTGTGTGTTAACCTAATATTGTATCATTAGCTTATCCATTAGTTTCATACATACTTATCTCTTAATGCTTAGCTCTTTTTTTTTCTCTATTTACATTTGATTTTTTCCATGTTTTCGTTTGTGTGGCGTGTTTCTGTTTTCGGTTTTTATATCATATTTTTCTTTAAAACTAAATAACTTAAAAATTGCTTACAAATATTTTGCAATGAGTTTTTGTGGTTAATTTTCAAGTGAAACTCTCGCTATTATTTTGTTTTTCTTTAAAAAAATAAATGGAAAACATTTTAAAATATATCTCGCCCTGAAGCGGTGAGGCCATTCCACTTAAAATTTTGACAAATTCATTTAAAAGTTCAAGTTCACATTTCACAAGATTTAAATAGCTTTGGAGTCCATTATGCCAGTTTTCAGTCGCTACTCATTGCCAGCTGTAGCTGCTTGCTGTTCGCTCTCTCGCAGTTGGTTCATCACCAAACGCTGTTAGCTACTCTTCCTCTCTCCAGGGGTGCAAGCACCTGCTGCCGGCATCTCTCCACTCTTCACACACTGCATGCTACTCTTTACTCGCTTCGCGCTGCTTACACACGCTTGCGCATGCGTTCATGGCGAGCACCGATGTTGCGCTTCCATTCGGGATCATTGGGATCATCGTCCATGAATGGATCATCGACCAAGTCATCATCGTCGAGTCCCTCACCCTCGCCTAAATAAGCATCGATGCTGGCGTTATAGGCATTTGCATCGTTTTTGCTTGCGCCTGGAACTTGATCATCTTCTGGTGGCGCCAGATAATGATGATAATCATCATCCTCCTCCAGCAGCAGCATCTCCTCCTCCTCCTCATCATCATCCGCTTCTGGCAGATAGTCAATGCCATCGTCATAGCCTACCTCCTGGCCGCCATTGCTGTGAACTGATTTTGCCGCAGCTCGCTTTGCAGCATTTTTGCCACCATTAAGACGCGGCAATTTGCTAGAATTTGTGGCCTTTGCTTTGCTGCTGCGTCGACTGCTGGAGCTGGTCGTAGTGCCGTCTCCATTAGAAGAGACCGATTTGCTTTTTATTCGCTTGCCCGGTGCGGTGGCTGCGACGCTGGTGGTTGCCGGTGTCGCTGGCTCTTTGGGCTCGATGTTTATGTCGGCGAGCAGTCGCTGATAGGCCTCCTCGGAGAGAGGAAAATTCAACGGCTCAAATGGTGGCGGATCCTGTGGCAAATGTAAAAAAGCAAATATAAATATAATACACACTAATATAAGCACACATTAGCACTCACGTCTCGGGTATCTGGCGTTGCACTACGACGCTCGTGATCCTTTAGCTTGCTGGATGTGGTACGACGTCGCTTTGTGGTCTCGCCCTCAGCTGCGATGCCATCGAACGGATGCTGCATCATGTTCTGTGCCAGCGGCGAGGGTATGCTCTCATTGTCAGCGGTAGGTCCGGTCAGCTGTGAAGCCGCCGGCGACGCTGGATCCGGTGTATTGGCGCCGCTCGATTCAGCGCGACTGTCGACACGTCGATTAGCACGCGACCGAGTGCTCCAGGGGAACTTTAAGAATGTCTCGAAGCGTCGACGTTCCTCGATGAGAGCACGCTGATGCCGTGCTATGTACGCTTCATCCGAGAGGTCTTCCACCTCATCATCATCATTCTCCACAGTATCAGCAGAGGGAGCAGCATCGACCTTTGCTTCAGCTACCGGCTCATCCGTTTTCTTTTCGGTCTTGTCTTCTGAGCTTGGCGCCATCTGCAGTTTGGGCCGCTTATTAGGTGGTTCAACAGATTTAGCTGTGGGTTTATCTGCCACATTTGGTGCCGTGGCGTCCTTGCTAGTAACAGTGGCAGTGGCAGCAGAAGCAGGAGCAGGAGCTGCAGCAGCAGGCGTGACAGCAGCTGGGCTTGCTTTATTTACATTATTATTCACAGAGATTTTATTATTGTGCTTTTTGGTTTTACCATTGAGAGGTGTTTGCTTTCTCTTTAGTTCTTTGCTCTCAATTTTCAACAGCTCGGATTTCTCCTTCAGCGGCTGCTCCTTAGTTTCGATTGCCAACTCTTCCGGTTTTCCATTCAACAGTCCATTGCTTAGTGCCAGCTTTGTCTGTTCCTTCGACAGCTTGACAGTCTCTCCCAGTCGTTTCTTCTTCTTGATCGATTGCTTCACGCCATTTAGTTTAGTTGGGGACTTGCTTGATGTTTTCTTCACAGTGTTGTTGTTTAACTTGGGAGTTGTTGTTACTGTTGTGGCGGGCGTTGTTGTTGTTGTTGTTTCAGTTGATGTTGCTGCTGTTGGTGCGGGTGTTGTTGCTGTTGGTGCTACTGTTGCTGTTGTTGTTGGTGCTACTGTTGCTGTTGTTGTTGGTGCTACTGTTGCTGTTTCTGTTGATGCTACTGTTTCTGTTGTTGTTGCAGTTTCTATTGCTCCAGTTGTTGCTGTTTCCGTTGTTGTTGCTACTGCTATTGGTGCTTTCTTTTCGTCAGTCACCAGTTCTTTCTCGTTCTTTGCATTCACACAGCCATTGGTCAACTTTTCAGCATTGACAGATGTATTCGGAGATTGTTGCTCAGTATCGCTATCCACAATACGCCACCTAAGTTGATGAGAGGAACAACATGTTAATTTCGCATTCATCTATAATATATGTATATATATTTGTACTTACTTTGGTGTTGGTATCTCCTTGTAGGGCAGTATTTCGACACGCGTCTGAGCGGCCATGCTGTAGGGTATCACGATGTTGTCAATGTCGTAGATAAGACGATTGCGTCTCTCTGAAGTGCTATGGATTGGGATTGATTAAGGGATGGTTGATTCAATTATTCATGTAAGCCTTTTTTAGGCAAGGCAAAAAAGATTTGTTGCCGATTCTAAAAAATGCCCATTAGCTTTCAAACTTTGACTGCACTCACCGTTCATTACGGTGCCCGTGTGTTTCGGCAGAATTGCGGCGACTGTGTGGCTCCCATTGCGAATCTCCGGTTAAGCGACTGTTGCTGTTATCCCCAACGCTGGCCTGTTGACTGCTGCTGCTGCATCTGCTCCTGCTGTTGTTGTTGTTGTTGTTGTTAATGTGTGGTGAATGTGTTTGATGTGATTTGGAGCCTGATTTGCGTGGCTTTTTACCGCCGTTGCCGGAGATCAGTGTGAAGCTATTTAGTTGTTGTTGCTGGGAGTCGGGTAGCGCTCCGACTCGATTCGTGGCCAATTGACGCTGCTTTTTGCTCTCTGCAGCGTCCAATAGGGTTCAGACATATGTAAATGTTGAAGAGAGTAAAACGAAAACAAATTGCAAAATAAAACAAATGTTGTTCGTTTTTGTTGTTTGTTGTTTTTCGTTGTTATTGCACAGTTGTTGTTCATGTTGATGATGATGATGATAATAGATGTATGTGCATGTGTGTGTGTGTGCGAGTGTTGCGATGTTCCGTGTAACATAAAAGAAATGCGTAAAGAAAAAAAGAAAAGAAAAAAAAAAAGATGCAAATTGTTGTTGTTTTATGTTAATAATCAATTATCGAATTTGTCATGTTTACAATAATTTACTGTTGGCCACAAGTGGCGTTGTAGTAGGCGTAGAAGAAGAAGAAGAAGAAGTAGTAGCAGTACCAGTACCGTTTCCACTATCCAATCCTACGTGGCCGAGCCCACTATAGCCGCTATTGTTTTTGTTGATATTATTCTGTGTAGTTGATTCTTTATTATTGTTGTTGTTGTTATTGTTATTGTTGCTGCTGTTGTTTGCTTTGTTTTGACTATTATTGTTACGCTCTTTACGGCGCACATAACGGCGCTTGGCCGTCTCACCGGCTCTTCGCCCAGCACTACCGCCAGTGCCGCCGCCAGCGGAAGCAATCGCCTCGCGCTCAGCCTTCCAGACGCTCTTGACAATCGCCTTGGCCTGGCTGCGCATTACACGATATTGCCAATCAGGCTGACGGCTAATCGCTTCCAAATGCACCGACTGGCAAACATCTGCAATGATTATGAATGCAAGTTCCATTAATTTAAAGCCCTCCTGAATAGACTCAATTCGACCACTCACCATTGGAGAAGCTCAACACCGGGTGATAACCGGGGTCGAGCAGAGCTACACGGTTTTGGGGCATCAGAGTTTCGGGCAGATCTCTTGGCGCCGTCGGATCCGGTCGCCCAGTGCACAAAGTGCACGGCACCTGCGGCCATTGACAGCCGCATTTGATGTTGCTGGGTCGCGCTGCCTTCTTGGATATTGTGTGCATATTTGTGGTCTGGAAGAGTTTACGTTTGCGAAACTCTGACAGTACCAAAGGACGCGCCCGACTGCATAGCCAATCGTCGGATGCCTGTTCGGGCTGTTCCGATTGATCCATGTAGCCGTTCTTTGGCGTCTTCGTCGTTTCCAAGAGCACATCGCCCTTGGTGCGACACAGATCGTTGTAGACGTCGTTGTGCTGGCGGATTTTGATCTCCAGATCGGCAATCTGAGCGCACAGCCAGGACCAGCGCAGGGCAATGACAGCACGATCTCGCGAATAGCGCCACACGGCACGTCGCGTGCTGCAAAATATAAAGGCAGAATATATTAATAAAAAACTCCAATTGACAGATTTAAGAAGACTGCTAAAGACAGAAATTACGATATTCGAATGTTAAATACATTTTACAATGCTGTTAATGTTAAGATTAAGTGTAGCAAAAAGCCGGGCCTAACATTTGCACACATGTTAAATAGCAGAACTTATTACACTTCTGCTGGAGTTAACAGATCTGACTAATCAGTTAAATATATGGATCGTAAATACACTATATAACTAACACACCAACTGTACATATGGTTGCTAAATTAAAAGTTAAAAATTAAAAAAAAAAAACAAAGCTTGATAGCTTTACATTATTCATTTAAATGACATAATTGAATATCTTGGAAGGATGTATAATCAATATTCAATAGATGTAGGCAATGTAGAAATTATTAGTCACAGGAATGCTTATGATTGTTAAAGATACCAATATCAGTTAAAGATTGAATGGATTTATAAATCAACATTTCGTTTACTCACATTGGCAATGACAACTGCTGGGAATTGTTGTAGGTGACCATCTCGTCGGCAGAGTCGCCGCCAGAACTCGATTCAGTGGCGTCCGAGTCGATGGCGTTCTGAACCTCACGCATTTCGGTGTGCAGAAAGCCCGCCACATGGGTCAATTCGCTGGTCACATAGCTGTCAAAGTTCGGCACAATTTCGTCCGGGCGTGGAGCTAAGACGCCGTCGACTCCAGCTGGTACCGTACCGCTGTTGGCAGTGTCCACTTGCTGTGTTTTGCGCGCCCGTTTGCCCGGCTGTGCCGTGCTGCTATACCACGTTGATGAGGACGCCAACGATCCAGAGCTACCTCCAGTTGTATGGCAAATTTGTTGTTTACGCGCCGCCGTCTCAATGTGCCGCAGCACATTGCACATCTGACTGGCGGGCAGTGGGTGCTTGGTCTGTTCCTCCCAGAAGCTGCTACTCGGCCGCCCAGATACAATCGACAAGACGGTCTCCTCGCGTTCGCTCAGCTTGGCGCTGCGCACCGGCGCCCCGTTTGCTACCTTATGCGAGGTGCGCGCCGCCCATTCGAGAATGCCGCTGACTTCGTCGCTGGCATGCCGGCACATATGGCGCGATTGGAGCTTGCGCGTGCGCCGCAGCAGGAAGTCAATCTTGCGCATCAGCAAATACTGTTGCTGCTCGAGCTCGGCATGGCATTCCTGCCAAGGACGAGCCGCGATTGCTGTACTACAGCTGGGCTTTGACTCCAGCATATCTTGGATGCCGGCAATAGTGGATGCTGGCGTTCCTGCTGCTGCTGCTGTTGATGCAATTGGGCCAGCTGCCGCTGCTGTTGTTGTAACTGTTCCGGCGGCGGCCGCTGCATCGTCCTCGTTGCATGGGAAATACATTTCGTCAAGGAAATTATAGATTGTATCCGGATTGACGTGCGCACTGTCAAATGTCTTGAGCGCCTTTAAAACCTCCTCAATATCCTGATCCTCGAGCACGGCGCCAGCACCGCCATCCTTAAGAAAGTTTATCGAGCTCGTCGTGCTCTGCGGCGTCAGCAAAGCGCCCGACTGACGCGCAGTTGTTGAATGCTGGGGTGAGGCGAGTATCTCCGGTTGTTGTTGCTGTTGCAATTGCTGTTGTGGTTGTTGCTGTTGTAATTGCAACTGCTGCTGCTGCTGCGACTGTTGCTCCTGTTGCAACTGCTGCTGCAATTGCTGCTGCTCCAGTTGTTGTTGTATCGCCAGCACCTGTTGCTGCTGTTCTTGTGGTTGCTGTTGCTGCCTAGTCGAGTTCGTCGGCGCTACGCCAGCGTTGTCCACTGCCGCTTCACCTTTAGCCACGTTGGGCGGCAATACAACGCTGGGGCTGCCATCGAGTTGACTAAGACATTCTGTAAATGCGAAAAATAGAATCAATTTTAATATAAATACGCATAGGACTAACTTTATGTAGATTTTACTTTCGCATCACACCAAACCATTTAATTTGCATTATCTTGCTGCATGTAATGTAAATTAACATATGCTACCTATGGTTATATGTACGTTAACAGACTCCAGTTGTAAATTGGCACGCAATAATATAAAATTACAGAATGCCGTTTATTTACATTTCTAACAGTCTTTTGCTAACAATGTTATTTAACAGTGGTACATTACTATACGCCTAGGTACCATTATACATTATTAAATTTCTTAATTATGTAGCGCAAAATTACAATCTAAAACTTTCTATATCAAATGTCTGCCAAACATACAACAACAAATAAATCCAAATATAAAACGAAGTCTGTTAAATCGTATGTTAACAGTTAACTGTTAAGTTGATGCAATTAAAATCAAGTGCGAGCGACAAAAACAAAGGATTCGTCTTATATCGCCTGGATCTTTGGAATAATTGAAATGCTGCCTGATCTAAAAGTTATTCTAAATGAACATGTCAAACAAAACAAGCAAATGCTCTACATTAAACAAAACAGCGCATTGCTCAAAATCGAAACGAGAATACACATAAAATATTTTTACTACCAAACTCTTCGAAAAGCTGTCGGATCGATCGAGCGGACTGCGAATAGCATTGGTACTTTCAAATCGGCCTTACCTTCAATAGGATCCGGAATTTTCGCAGCAGCAGCCAACTCCGCCGTACTCTCCGCATTAGATGACAGCGGTATTTCCGGCCATGCCAATCGCTGTAGAGCGTCTGTGAGTGTTGCTGTTGCTGTCGTTGTTGGTGTTGCCGCCGCCGCCGCTGCTACTGCTGCTGCCGCCGCACTTGTGGATTGGGACTGGGCTTCGGTTTCTGCCATTAATGCGGGCTCCAGCAACTGCACGGAATGTGCTATTGCAGCGGCTGCAGCCACAGCTGCTGCGGCAGCTGCTTCAGTTTCGGCTGGCTGCTCCTTGCTGTGGCTCACCTCGGGCAGTGTTTTCCGCAGGCAAATCTCAGCTGTGATGGCCTCCTCGAATTCACTTGTTAGATTTGCCAGCAGCGCTGCCGTTGAGTTGTCCTTGCAGTTATTATTGTGCTCGGCGGACGAATTCTCGGCTGTCGCTGCTGGTGTCACTGTTGCTGCTGCTGCTGCTGCCACACCTGCGTCGTTGATGTTAATGCTACCACTGTTGCTGGAGTTCGAGGAAACGCCTGCACTGCCGTCGCTGCTTGTATGTGTGGTTGCAGCGCTGAGGCCCATTTGATGCTCCACGGTTTTGGCTTCGCTGTTATTATTGTTGTTGGTGTGATTGTTGGGTTTGCGCTTGTTGTTCACCTGTACAATCGGCGAGCCCATGCGCTGTGCCGCGTCCTTGGAGCGTGTCACGCGCGTCGTGGTCGTCAAAGAGATTGGCTTCTTGGCCGTTTCACTGGGCGAGTCCAATTTTCGTACAGACTGCCGCGTGCCGGTGGCAGGCGATGCGTTGCTTGTTAGCTTCTCCTTAGGACTTAGTGGCTCGGCCGTGAGCGCTGGTGCCATACTTGTGCGACGTCACTGCCAGGCCAGCTGCATTACAGAGTTACGCTATTCGGCACTTTGCCACGCTTTTCGGCTTTTATCACTTAATTACTGTATGCACTTTATTGCTCTGTGGGGGAGGGATTTCTGTTGGTCGCTTCAAAAAAGACGGTAAAAACAAAATTTTCAAAAGTTAATTCAATAATTTATTTTTTAAATTGACACCGAGCTGAAGCACACTTCGTTTTTCCGCTTACGCACTCTCTCACACTCGAATATGAACGCATACAAACAAATAAAAGGCTCAACACGTTTTGTGTCGCCTACTATTAAAACAATGGCAGAATGCTTTATCTAAAGTTGCCATACATTTGCATAATCGATAACAACAATTACACAAATTAACAGCGATAACAAAAGCCTCTGCAGTTATTATTTTTTGATGACCCCTTCCGTCAATAGCAGGCGGATGCTTTATGTACATATAGCTGCCAGACATCTGCATAAATAAAACCCTTCGATAATAATTACACCGACTAACAACAAGCGATAGCTAACAAAATTCCGTTGTTATTTTGGTTGCCTATTCCTCCTTGTGATTATCTTCGTTTACACTGCCTATAGGAAGTCTTTTCCGGCGCCGCGTGCGTATGTGTAGCACTCTCTCTCTCATACAAACACACACACAACAGGCGCGCGGGTTTCAATGCGTGCCAATTGTGAGAGCAGAGAAGAGAGCGCGCGCTATTGCTCATTCACAATGATGCGCAATAAAAAAAAAACGAACTATAGAGCACTGCGGTTCGCCCAGTAGAACATTGGAACAAATGCAAATGGGCAAAACTACTGACGAAATCTCTGACTGCGCGCATGAAAATCTAAATTATTTTTATCACGCATGTGTGCAGCAAAATGCATATATCACAAACATTTACAAAGAGGTGCGTGGCCGCTTACTTTTCATGTTTTTTTTATGTAATTTCATTTATTGAATTTTTCATCGTTGGCAATTAAGCAGCTCGCGCCTTTACAATATGTGCGCGCACACAGCACACAAACAAATAAAACACACATACACTCATACATATGGGTACAGGCCCATGCATAAGGCTACTACTTGTATGGACGTGTGTGTTATGTACATACACACATGCATACACGTACATGTCTAGCACTATTTTCAGTTATTTACACAATAAATAATTCATTTCATTTTCCGTTTGCACTCAAATTGCATAGACTAGAACGCTTTAAAAATAATGAATATTATAAACAGTTTCGCTTTTATTGCAAAATTCTTTATTTATATACACACATACATATGTATGTTTTTCTTCGTTTCAACCAAAAAGTAGTAGAAAACGTTTTCAGCGCGAAAGTAACCAAACTGTGCACTACACACACAAAAACACACACACACAGATGTACCGACATACAGAAGCAAAAGCACGCAAGAATTTGTAATTGCTTAAAAATTATTACTATTTTATACGCACAATTTTAGACGCTTGCACAACGCACGCAATTATTAAATCTGTCGATTTTTAGTAAAGCGGCGTTGCTCGCGCTTGGTATATTTGTCGATATTATTTCACTAAATTTTTTCCTCATTTATATATTTTTTTCATTTGCTCCCTGCTACGCTTTTGGCAAAACGACGTGTATTCGGAGCTGTACTCGTTTCTGTGCTGCCAGACCAAAGTACGCATGCTGATCATACGGTTGTCTCTTTCCTACTTATGGCGCTACATGGGTTATTCCGCATCAGTGTTGCAATGCGTGTAAGTGAGATGTCTTGACAAATGGTTACTTTAAATCGTTACTCAGTCACAAATGGCAGCCCTTAACCGTGACCAAATGCTACTACACAAAATGCAACCCTGCTCGCAAATAAGCAATCTGTTTGTTATTGTTTTTACTGGGATGGATTTTAATGGTTCTTACAATGTGAATAAATATTAATCATATATTATGTTGGTTCTTTAATTTTAATTTTAACAAGGGCCTTCTGGTTTCATACACATTTTAAGGGAGCCTCTGAGTATTATATACTAATAGATCAACTGATGGAGCCTCAATTATAAATAGGACCCTACAAGTTAGAATAAGTTTGTGACAACATCGGCAAAACTTTGCCAATTCTTTTTTACGCTTCGCAGATAGAACGAAACTTCTGATTAACGTATTATTGTGAACTTGTTGAAGCTATAGTTCTCAATCTCCTTGGTTGGCGAAAATACGGCGTTGTTAATCTTCGAGTGGGGGCTACCTTTGTTCTGGAGCCAATCCTTCCTGGAAGCAGTCAAAACGTGACAGTCAGGACACAATAAACTATATCACTAATAATCCATATATGCATTTACATTTCGTTAAGCGGTGCTAACGGAGCTTCCAATTCGCCCCTTACTGTGCCGTTCGGGGTGTTCATGCACCAACCGCGGACTCCAAGTTCATTCGCCTGTTTTTCTGTGTACTATATGTTTATATATGTATGATAAACCGATTGAACTTAAATTTCTTCTATACGATACTCGCGCTATTCCACTTTAGACTTACCTTGCGAAAGAAAACGCCTGCAAAAAAAAAAAAAAGACGAAAGTTACAAAATGTGTTACAATTAGAATTTATCAAATGACACTGGCGATCGTCGAATATATGTATGTGTGCATGTACCTTGTACTTGTCCAAAGACTTCGAAACTGCACGCAAATATTTGAGTCATTGCGATTGATGAATTTTGATTACCAGAAACTTGGGACGTTACGAACAGCACAATAATTATAACAATATTTACTTTGAGAACTAAATCTGATTTATACGAAAACACCATAACGACCGACTAACAGAGTTGCCAGCTAGCTTCAAATTCTCTCCAGTAGCGTAGTCAGCCAGTCTTGCAAAGCGAAACTTATCCCCATTTTAATGTTACTGTCATATTGCAATATTGTGAATAAATTATATATTATAATAATATATTTTGACGCCTGTCTGATGCGCACCCTGGTAGTATTTTGTCTGCTTTGCGTTTTTTGCCGTATGGCAACGCTACCAAGCTCCTTGAAAGAATGTCGGTATACCAAGAAAACATTGTTTTGTTGTTATATTTTAGGAATATTTGTAGTTTATTTAACTGTTGCTTATATGGTTCTTAGTGTGTCTTATTAGTCTATTAGTGCTTTAAATAACAAAATACTATGGTCCGCTGCTGGCAGCAGAAATTAAATTGTAAATTCGTTGTAAAATTGTGGAGGGCACATCAGTTTCAGTTGGCTCGATCTGCGGCCTGTTTCTTGGCCGCCAGAATAGTGTTTTGCATCAGCATGGCAACTGTCATTGGGCCAACACCACCGGGTACCGGGGTAATATGTCCAGCAACCTGACGCACTTCTGTAAATCATAATTATTGTCAATTTGCATACAGAATATTGCGTCGATTTCAATATTTACTCACCATCGAAGTCGACGTCGCCAACAAGTTTATATTTGCCTGTCTCATCTTGAATTCGGGTGATGCCCACATCAATGACACAAGCACCCGGCTTGACCATATCCTTGGTTATCAAACCCGGCTTGCCAACGGCCACAACAATAATATCAGCTTGGCGGCAATATTTTGCCAGCTCCTTGGCTGGTGTATAACGATGACAAATGGTGACCGTGGCATCCAGGCCCTTGGTTGCATGGCTGCCATCCGAGTGCAACAATATGGACAAAGGCAGACCCACATTTTTGGAGCGACCGACGACAACAGCATTGCGTCCGAATGTTGGTATATTGGCACGCTCGAGCAAAGTCTTCACACCGAGAGGCGTGGCCGGCACAATACCATTCATATCCAGAGCTAGACGACCAATGTTAATCTCATTGAACCCGTCCACGTCCTTGGCAGCAATTATGGCATTGCACACGGTGCGCTCATCAATGTGCGCCGGCACAGGCAACTGCACTAATACACCATTAACGCTCTCGTCCTTGTTCTGCTTGTCGATCACGTCCAGCAGCTCCGCCTGTGTTGTTGACTCCGGCAGCACAATTGTGCGGCTGCGAATGCCGATTTCCTTGCACGCCTGAGTCTTCTTTTCCACATACTTCTGGCTGGCGGGATCCTCGCCCACAATGATGGCAGTCAGGTGGGGCACAGGATTACCTTCGGCCACAAATTGATTCAGCTCCTTACACAATTCACTGTGTATTTGGTTAGCCAAATTCTTGCCATCGATGATTTGAGCCATGTTGCTGCAAAGTGAATGAAGATGGAAATAAATTTAGTCGAAAAGATATTAAATGATTTATAGAACTCTAAAGGAAATGGATTAGATAAGATAGTCCAAAGGCGATTTATAGAATGGGAATAGATTCATAACGCGTAAGAGGAAGTTCTTCACATGAACATATACCCATGCATACTGTAATCTTCATGATTCGCACGCTTATTGAATTCATAATTCAGTCTAAAGTTTATCTAATGAGAAGTGATTAATGCATTGCGGGTCACTGTGCGTCCGTTTTGAAAATGCGAGTTCAGGATTTCATGGGTGCGTATCTATTTATGTAACAGGACAAGGACTTGAACTGTCTATCAATGTACATGAATGCAGAAATCACAAAAGCCATTAAAAACTTAAAATTTCTATACATACAAGTATGTATGTATATTTTATATAATATTCCTCAATATCGAATCTCATTCGTATCTCCAAGTCTGACCTAGAGCCCTCTCACTTAACATATACATTTTATTATGCACGACCACAAAATGTTTACAACTAACGGGGAAGTACACACACAGCGATTGACCGGTAATTCCCCTACCACACACTCATCTCTATAGCTCGCTTGGTGATTCACATATTTCACTTATTTTTACTGCAATGCGTGTTGCCGGGGGTTTTCCCCTTTTTATGTGAGATAAATGTTAATATTTATTAAACAATTTTTTATGTAATACAGCAAAAATTCTTGTTAAACTTAATAAATAAAAATGTCGGTGTATATATAGATAAATTTCTATAAAAAAATGTAGCTTAACATTTATATATATGTATGTATATCATTAATTGGAAGCACTCAGAAAACCCAGCTCCTGGAGTGCAAGTGCAAAGTGTTTGTACTGTTTGTCGCCCGATTTGTTTTGTATATAGTTGAGCATGCCCTCCGAGCTAGACCAGAGCCAACTGAACTCTTTCAGGTCGGACTTCTCGGCAATCTCTTTCCATTTGGGCAAGTTGGCATTGTCTGCCGTTGGCTCATTGAGCTGGGCCACCAGTTTATCAAACCTGGGTTTGCTACTCAGCAATTGCTGCAATTGCTTTTCAACGTCGCTTTCATTGGTGGTACTGTCCTCATCAGCGTACTCCGCCTTGAAGTCCATTTCAAACTCTTCGGTTTTGATCGATTGGGCTGGTACTTCGGAATTGCTTTCCTCATCATCTTCGGCCGATGAGGAGTCCATTTCCTCTTTAATATTCAATGGTATCCATGTCATGGCGCATTCTCCTTTGTCCGGATACACTTCCTCCAGCAGCCGAACACAACGATCGTTCGCCTTGGCACGTGCCAGCTGCAATGGGGTTAAGCCAGCCGAATTTCTGCTCATTAATATATCCATTCGATTCTCTGCATCCAGTATTAAAACGATCAGCTCCACGTTCTGCTCGAGCACAGCCATGTGCAGGGCGTTATTGCCGTCTGTTGTGTTGGCAACATTGATGGAGCTGCGATCATAGTTGATTAGATTCTTGGCTACATCATATTTGTTCTGCCTGATGGCCATGTGCAGCGGTGTTAAGCCATCATCGTTCGTCAATGACAAATCCAATTTGGCGCCTGATGCATCTAGGAATAGCTTGATGCAATTGTTGCGATCCTCTTTGACAGCCAAATGCAAAGGCGTGTTGCCTGTCAGATTTTGTTGATTTGGACTACAGCCCAGTCCCAGCAATGGGCGTATGTAGTGATCCCGGTCCTGCTGGCAGGCTACATGTAAACAGCTATCTCCATCCGCATTTTGTGCCGTATGCGCCAGCTCGCGCAACTTGAAGTAATCAATAACCTGGAACATTTTAATGGCCAGCTTCACATTATCCTTGCGCTGGCTAATCACCTCGTGCAGCAGTGTGTCGTTATTCACGTTCTTCTGCGCATGGTCTGTGAAGAGATTTTCCACTTTCTTGCAGGAGGATTGAAATAGTTCCTTATTGTCGACAGCGCGTCGGGCCGCATCGAATATCTTAAAGATTTCACCCAGATAGGTGCTGGTCAGGTTGCGATTATATCGGCTGACGTGCGTGCGATCTGCGCTTTCCGCTTGCTGTTGACCATCTGTTTCGAGTACGCCAATATCGGTGACACAAAGCTTCTCCAGCTCTGCGGAGTCCTGTTCGAGTATCTTTCGAAACGATTCCGGATTTATTAGTTGCTCCAAATGAAATTCCCGACCGAACTCCTGACTAATTGTCTGATCATGCTGTGACACGTTGACCACGCCCTGCTGCGGCACTGTCTTGGGCAACTCCATTGAGTTGTTTAGGCTGCCACTGCTGCTGCCGCTGCTGCTGGTAAGGGTGGAGCAGGTGCGTCGGCGTTTACGTGAAACGATCGCATCACGTGGCTTATAACGGAAAGGCAATGGTGGAAAGGAGCGCTCGTCGTCGGAGGGACGTATCAACTCAATGGAGACACCCACTTCGCGTTCCACATCCTTGTCCTTGTAGGGCGGCGTTTGGCAGACAATCGCATACTGATGATGAACATCCGACTCACGGAATTTGGCATAAGCCTCCCAAACGGTTTCACCATCATCGTTCTCCTCAAAGAATCGCACTTTGATATTCTTTTTGCTAACCTTTTCCACAAGCAAAATGAGCTCATCGTTGCCCATGACGCTGCCAGTGGGTTTGCTGAGGCGAGTGATGCGTAGCTCGCCCGTTTGTGCGGACTTGCGATTGTTAATCGGATTGCTATAGACGGGCGCGGCAATAGGCGTCCAGGTTTGATTATCCTCAATTTTGAAGGCTTCAAAGCACAAACGCACCTAAAATGCAACCAGTGTTGAGTACACGTCCTTGAAGAATGCTACAAGTCGTTGACTTACCTGATTCAGGTTCATTTCCTTTGCCTCACGCTCTGTTTCCTGATGTAACTCCTGCACCTGCTTGGTAGACAGTTCCCGGCGACCCATTTTAAAGACCAGACGATCCTTTTTCTTCTTCAGCAGCTCGTCGAATATGAATTTTTTGGCCGTGTGTATAATGCCCATATTGATGAACTGGGCCACATATCCACGCTCCTGCGAGACATGCAGATCATGTGGATCGCATACATCGCGCTCATCCTTGCGCACTACCAACTGGTGCGAGTGTGGACTGTCCAAATTCGTTTGGAATAGGCTGCAACGGATGACAGCTGGTCCATTGTAATTGCGTAACATTACCTCTGGAAATGTTTTTGGTGTCCGCTTCGAGTTAATACCATTGAGTGAGCCATGTGTTCCATGCATTTCGCTCTTGTAGCGAAAACGAAATTTTTCCACCGGCTGTTCGACAATGTGCAGCACAGCAGTATATTCGTGTTTAACGCCACCATCGTTTGCCGCAAATCCCACATTTTGTGGCGTCGCATAGAAATGATCCATGGGCATGTACATATTGCCAAAGTTTGTGTTTCCATTTAATATATTGTTGCTGCCGCCATCAATTTCCATGCAGAGGTTGCCACTTGGGAGCAGCTGATTTGCTATGAGTGGCTGTTGGTATGGTGAGCTGCGTAATTGCTGTAGCTGTGGTGAAGGTGAATTCGACATTGCGGGCAAATTAAGGTTGGCAAATTCATTTTGCAAAGCAAATGTCTCTGGCGAATGTGATGGTGACTGTGTCATGGATATGGGAGAATTCGCGCTGCTGTATCCACTTGTACTGGAGCAATCATTCATGTAGGATATATTCTTTCCCTGATCCAGATCAAAGAATTGCTGTTGATTCATTTTTGCTATTGTTATTGTTATTTTCCCTGCTGCTTCTGCTGTTGTATTATTATCCACGTGAGCGCGTGTCTCTCACTTCATACAATATGTTTTATTTCGCGCTCGCTTTTACGTCGTAGTTTTAAGGTTGTAGGCTTTCCGACCGTTCCACTGCTCATCCAAAACGAAAATGAGACAATCGTATTGCCGTTCGTGCGAGCACAGCTTTTATTTGTAAAAGGTACTTCCCCGATGTTGCCCGACTGTCAACAATACATACTTACACATGTATGTATGTACTTATCAGCTAGCTGCGCAGCCACGTCAGAATGACTCATGGGTTATTCTGATCGCAGTGTGATTTTGTTTGCAACAGCAGCGACTGCGTTGTTCGTAGAATTTGTAGTGCTTACAAATTGTTTATTCTACAGCGATTCAATATCTATACATACATATACATACATATTTGTGTATGTTGTATGCAGATATACTATAAACACAGGTACTGTATGGGTGTATCGCACACGACGGTGCCTGGTTCGTCGAACGTTAACTCTCCACTGTACGTATGGAAATGAGCGCAAGAAAACAACGAATCACATTCACGACATACATTAAACGATACTGTTGATAACAGGTTTAAGCTCGTTGCGTAAAGCTTTTATAGTCTCCGCTTCTAAAACAAGTACATATTAACCTTATACACATTATAAACGCATGCCATTTCACCACGATAACTAACTAGGAAAAAACCTGATTTAAATATCTAATTCAACTTAGATATGTACATATATGCTGCCAGATTTATCATAAATGCTGAACAGTGGCAACGCTCCATTGGCAACAGCTGTTTTTTGCGAGGGCACGTGCAGATACAAATTTTGTTGGTAAATTAGAACAAATAATATCATCAAAATAATATATTCTATATATCATCAAAAATAAAAATGAACTTACATTTATGTGTATATGTACATATGTATGTATGTGCATAGCAACAGAACAGTATTCGGATACACTTACAATTTTTTTTTGTTTCGCTCATGCAATTTCCATGAAATTTCATGAATTCGCATTATCGACTGCATATAATGTGTCTTTGGGGTACACACTGTGGTCACAAATGCCCTGAATAAACTTTTCGACATTTTGCACAGCAACAGCTATTATATTTTCCTATATATGAAGTACATAAATAATTTCCACTCTTATATGTTGAAAACGTAGAAAATGTACTGTACTCTCATAAGTTTACCTAAATAACTGGCATGTAAATTTTTTTACGGTAAAATTTGTATTCTTTGGTAAAAAAAAAAGGAAAAGAAAGTATCACAACAAAACCGAAAAAGCTAACACAACCGATAAAAACCGAATACATGCTCATGTTCACCAGACACACACAGAGGCACGCATACCTACATACATACATATGTGTGTATATATGTATTTGCTTACTTAAACACACACCAACAAAACTAAGAAAAATGTGTAGGCCTTAGAATTTGTGAGCCTTGAAAACGAAAAGTAAAACTAATTTGCATTGCTTTAATTTTAGTTTTGTATGTGGAAATAATAGCACGTGTATTGACAATTGACCCTTCTCGCTATACTTAACGAGACAGAGACACCGTTTCGCTGACTGTGGGGGTGATAGCTGACGTTATCAGTTGGCTGCACTTTGTTTTTATTTTGATTCACAATTGGCGATGCATAATAACAAATCATGTAAACTGTCTGGCAGACAGGTCTCGACATTTAATTTGTATATGCGCATGCAAACACAAATTTCTTACAAATATTCACTTCACCTGATTTTCGTCAAGTTGTGCACTAATTTTCCACACCCAATTTGAAAAATTCAAACTGATCGGTTCCTATGTTCTTAAAGAACTGCCCTGCATCAGCAAAGATCGCGAGCGCACACACGTGCTGTGTTTACTTGACGACAAGCTGACAAGCTTTTATCCAGTATACCATAAGCAAAAGCAGGTAAGATATCAGCCGAGGGTAAAGGCGGGACTTAAAAGTTTTGCGCATGAAAGCTCCCATAAGTATAAGAGAATGCAAAAAGCTATCCGCAGAATTTAGATTGTAGCACTAACCAGAGAACACATAGACTAGACAACTAGTGGAAAGCTTTTTG